TCCAGATAAAGAATCAGACTCACAATAAATACACAAATCTGTGGAAAACTCAAACTATAATCCATGCAAATGACTGGTTGTCTTATTCCTTTTAGGACTAAACTCTGGTGTTAAACTCTCTGGCCAATAAATGTCATATTTGTTCTCTTGATCTACTCTGGTTTATTCTAAGGCTTCCAGCTAAAGAATCAGACTCACAATAAATACAGAAATCTGTGGAAAACTTTTCTCAAACTGTTCATATTTGTCATTAGCTACTGTTACAGCTAGACTCTAGTTACTCACTTTAGCATTGTATGCTAACACATGATTTACTTTATTATGACCAATAAATGTCATATTTCTATTCTTGAACTACTCTGGTTTATTCTCAGGCTTCCAGCTAAAGAATCAGACTCACAATAAATACAGAAATCATTAGCTACTGTTACAACTGGGCTCTATTTACTCACTTTAGCATCGAATGCTAACACATAATTAACTTTATAATGACCAGTAAATTTCATATTTCTATTCTTGATCTACTCTGGTTTATTCTCAGGCTTCCAGCTAAAGAATCGGGTTAAAAATAAATACAGAAATCTGTGGAAAACCGTGTATAGTTGTCATTAACTTCTGTTACAACTGGGCTCTAGTTCCTCACTTTAGCATCGTATGCTAACACATAATTTACTTTATCATGACCAGTAAATGTCATATTTCTATTCTTGAACTATTCTGGTTTATTCTCAGGCTTCCAGCTAAAGAATCGGGCTAACAATAAATCCAGAAATCTGTGGAAAACTCAAACTGTCTATATTTGTCATTAGCTACTGTTACAACTGGGCTCTAGTTACTCACTTTAGCATCGTATGCTAACACATAATTTACTTTATCATGACCAGTAAATGTCATATTTGTATTCTTGAACTATTCTGGTTTATTCTCAGGCTTTATTACAGCTAAAGAATCGGGCTAACAATAAATACAGAAATCGTTAGCTACTGTTACAACTGGGCACTATTTACTCACTTTAGCATTGTACACTAACACACAATTTACTTTATTATGACCAGTAAATATCATATTTCTATTCTTGATTTACTCTGATTTATTCTCAGGCCTCCAGTTAAAGAATCGAGTTAAAAATAAATACAGAAATCTGTGGAAAACCGTGTATAGTTGTCATTAGCTACTGTTAAAACTAGACTCTAGTTACTCACTTTAGCATCGTTTGCTAACACATAATTAACTTTATCATGACCAGTAAATGTCATATTTGTATTCCTGTATTCCTGATCTCCTCTGCTCCACTAGGGGGCAGCATCTCCCCGGGGGGAGGACTCAGACTGTCTCCAGACCCGGTCTGCCCTCCCAGGCTGGAGGCATGCAGGAGGTGTGTGAGAGACGTTTAAAGTGTGTGTGTGTGTGTGTGTGTGTGTGTGTGTGTGTGTGTG